ACTCGCCGGTCTGGAGCTCTCCGCGGCGCGGCTCGCCGCGGCGAACGCGGGGGCCGGAGGAAGCGGTGTTTCCGATGCGGAGCGCGTTCGGATCGCGTTTTTCGAACAACAGTTCGTCGGACTCGTCCTCTTCGGATCTGCCGGCGCCCGCACTGGCGCCTCCACCTGCCCAGTTGTTGCCGGCGGACTCGGTGGATTCAGTGCAGGTGCACGCGTCCTCGAGTTGGACGCGTCGTGGGAGTGCGCCGGACATAGAGTTTACTGATTGTGTGGAACCGCCGCGACGGACGCACTCAGCGTTGCGTACGGGTCGGTCGCCGGAGTGGGACGACGCAGCGGCGGCGGGTATATTCGAGGAAGGTTCGAGTGCTAGTGAGCGAGCGGTGCCGCTGCGGCGTGCGCCAGTGCGTGCCTTGATGGGGGAGGAAGCGGTGGAACACGTGGGTGTGCAGTTGAGCTGTGCCGTGCAGGGTATCCAGGTACATTTTCTGATGATGGATCTGTTGGACCTTTGGCTTGCGTTTAGTTCTGAGATCCTGGACTGTTTATCCTGTCTTGGTCTTCCCAAAGTGGAGACTTCCCTCCAAGCCATCAATGGGGCTGCGCGTATCTTGCTCTTCAATTACCCCCTCCTCACCAAACTCGCCCACAAGTGCCCTTCTGCGCCCATCCATTACAGCTACGTCGTGGGCTTCTACACCACTCTTGTCCTCCTCGCTGATGCCAACCTTGCTTGCGCGTTTGACGACGAAGGCCTCTATTACGTGATGCAACTCGTTGCCTTTGTACATAAGTACCACCTACCGAGAAGCGAGACACCACCGCGACCAAGTCCCGCCGGGCGGACCACTCACTTCGCTTCCAGCCAGTTCGGCTCAACCTACTTTGGCTCTACCAACTTTGGTTCAACTCACTTTGGTTCAACTCACTTTGGCTCAAGCCAGTTTGCGTCGAGTCAGTTCGGACCCACCCAATCTGGGTCTACCCAATTTGGGCCCACCCATTTTGGCTCAACCCAGTTGGGGCCAACCCAGTTCGGGGAAGAATGGGGGTTTTCGGAGCGCGTGTCGGACGGCTATTTGGTCGACTTGGAGGCGTTGATTGTGCGCAGCCATTTAGTGAATAAGGCGCGCATCTTGTGTGTGATGCAGGACCTGTTGATCGAGATGCCCGTGACGCGGGAGAGTGTCAAGTACGCGAACGACGAGGACATGTTGTGGCTGGTAAGTCCACATTACGAGTTCGTGGAGCCGCCGATCGAGGTGCGTTGCGAGCGAATCGTGGTGACGAACCTGGGGCAGGTTATGTACGACCAGGCCGCGCCGGGCACGATGTGTTCCTCGATCGTGACGCCGCGGGCGGACCCGTGGCTGTTGTCGATGAAGGAGGGTTATAGCTTGCCGGCGGAACTGATGGCGTCGATCCGGCGACTGTACGAGGTGGCGCCGTTCTACCAGGAGTACCAGCGGTTGTTGTTGCCGTCACGGTTGGAGGACAACCTGAAGGACATGGCCTGTTACCCGAAGACGGCGTTGGTGTATGCTGACGTCTTTTGCTTCCTGATTGACGACCTGGATCTGTGGATTTCGCCCGAGGAGAAGTGGGTCGCGCTGGACCTGACGGCGGCGATGACGAACCCGACGTACCGGGTGGAGCGGCTGGTGAGTCCCCCGCGCTGTCTGTACCTAGATTTGGCCCCGAGTAAGCAATGTCCACGGGTGCTGGACGTGACGTTGGACACACCGGACCTGACGGTCAAGAAACGGTTGGCGCGCAGTGCGTACGGACTCAGCATCGAGCCCGAGGGCTTCCAGCGACTGTTGTTGGCGTTGACGCGGAACGTGTTGTGTACGAAGCCGCGGTTGAAGCAACACGCGATCGAGAAGAAGTCGAAATTGCGTGGCAAGACGCGCAACAAGTCGCGTGCGGTAGTGGACGAGAAGGATTCAGCTGCGGACCGTGCTACGTTGATTATGGCTTTGAGTCTGCGGAAGTTCTACTTAGCTGTGCAAAACCACTACCTCACTATTCAGCAGTTGCAGGCTTGCATGGAACTTTTTCAGTCAGACGGGTTGAACGTTTTCTGTTCGCTCGACTCGCTGGTGGTGTTGCCGGCGGGTGCGGACTACTTGCTGCGGGTTGGCGAGGCGGCCGTGACGTACAAGGCGGGGTTGTACACACCGGCGCTCCCCTTTGCGCGAACTGTTCCGATCCGGCCAATTTCGTTTGCCGCGCAGGTCTTTGCGGCGAATCCGCCGCAGATCTCGAATGAGCCGGTGCGTTCCGTGCTGGCATTGTTGCAGACTATACGGCTGAAGGGCGACCTTGCGGCATCACTTTCGTTGGCGAACACGGCTATGGAGTTTCTGGGGGCAGCGCGGCAGGTGTTGGAGCACGCGCCGTCTGCGGCCGTAGCGCCGTCGCCGTCGGCGAGTGCGGTGCGAAGTTTGGAACGGAAGGCTGCGCGCAGTCTGGAGCCACCACGGGCGGGGGGCAGTTTGGTGCGGACGGGGCAAAGTTTAAAGACATTGCAGCATTCGCCCGCGGTGGGTGAGGTGCGTAGTTCCTCAGGCGAGTCGCCAGCTGCCGCGGCGACGGCTCCTGCACCGTACTCTCTGTACATGTGTTTGGTTGAAGGGCTACATGTGTCGGCCTTTGAGGAGATGTGGTTGTCGGCGGCGAGTGTAGGTGGCGAGCTTTCCCCTGCGCGATGGAAGCTGAGTACACAGGATGTCTTCTGCGGCGTGGTCGAAGATGTCTGTGACCAAGGGCTGCGTGTGCCCGACCTGGAGTTGGGTGTGGAGAATCTGCCCCCGTTACCGCGCGAGCCGGCCTCGGGCTGTTTAGTCGAACCCGATCCGATGAGTAGTTCGGAGGAGTGCCGCGAGTCGGCGGAGTGCGGTGTGTTGCGGCTCGAGTTAGATGACGACCTTCATTGGCTCATCGACACCAAGTTAGTACTGGGAGTGTTGGCGCTTGCGCGCCATGGAAAGGAGTTTAGTGCGAAATTGAGCGAGTTGCGTCGCGGCTGGGAGGAACACGTCGCGAGCCCACCGCCGGCGCCGGCGCTGCTTGAGAGCAAGACGCCCTTCTTCGTCGACTCCACACTCGACAGCAACTTTCGCGATCCTTGGAGCAGCGACTGTCGCGGGACGAGTCTGGATAGCGACATGTCGCCTCTCTCGGTGGCGCCGAGATTACGTCGTGGCAGTTCGCTGCTGGAGTTAAGCGCGCGTCCGGCCACCAAATCGTTTACCCGCGCAAATACTATTGCCGAACGCGGCGTTGCCGACCGTGCTGCGGACAAATCTTTCCGGCGGGCGCGTTCGGCCAAAAGCACACGCGTGTTCGGACTGGGACTTGGCGCCGACGACGCGTACG